ACCCACACCCTCAATCTTATTAACATGTAAAATTTGATCTCAGATTCAGAATCCTGGTCTCCGACAAGACTTGAGAGACAAAGTCAGTCTTGTTATATGTTTTTTAATATAGTTTTCATCAGCAACAACATTGTGATCACAATAAAAGAAAGATTGACTATCTGCTGAATTCACTGCACTTCTGAATTCATCGGTCACCGTTCAATATTATGCGTAAAATGACTTTCATCAAATCAATCTTCTATGAATATAAATTTATACACAGTATCATGGAAATCGAATTAGAAATATCCGGTTAGCTCGAATCACACTGATGCAAGAAAGTGACTTGCAAGAGTCTCAGCTAGAAAAATTCAAACCCTGAAACTATAATTAAAATAGCCATTCTACACTGGAAGATCGGCTTAAAAAATATCCGTTGGGCCAGAAACTGCATACTAGAATCATCTGAAAAACTGAAATTGAAGCTGCAAAATTTAATTGGATAAATGCTCCATATGGGAGCAACAAGATTGGCTAAAACCTCGTCGTTAAAGGATCAGATTAGTTGAACTTCCAGCTTGAAAGAATTCAATTAGTCGAAAGGCCGAGATCATAAATATGTGATTGGCTGGAATCTGGACCTAAAAGAATCTAAGTGGTCAAAAGCCCAAGGTCGAAAATATCTGATTGACTGAAACTCGGGTCCAAAGAAACCTGATTGCTCAAAAGCCGGCTATCGAAAAATGTGATCGACTGGAACCTGGGTGCAAAGAAACCTGATTGGCCGAAAGCCCGAGGTCGAAAACGCCTGATTGGCTGGAAATCTTGGGCTGGAAGGATACGATTTTGATCGTTATTTGTTTGACCGTTGACCCTGACAGCCACCCATATACACACAAACTTTTTTTTTCATATGACCCTTCCTACAGTCGAGAGAATTTTTTGAAAAATTTTAAAAACTAATGGTACCAATCAATTCCTCGATCTCGAAAACATTTGGTGAAACTTTGATACTCTCCAAGCGCATGTTTTTTTGACCTTTGACACGGCGGGCGTGAATGTGGGTGGGAGTGGGTGTAGATGATCAGAGCTGTATCACCGCCACCTACACCCACACCCACAGTTCACACTCCACACCCGCACACACCCTAGTTCTAATTTTCACGAAATTTCTATGTTCTGGGGTGAAACAAAATGCAAGTATTTTGTTGAAATTTAAATTAAAAAAAGAAAGAATTCATAAAAATTTAATTCAATGCTTTGAGAAACAGGTGCAGAAAGTTGGTTTTAGTATTTAAAAAAAACACTTATCGATATACCATGGTTTACATCCAAAAATTGAATGACAGTATTTCAAAAGATACTTTGCCCACAGATAGACCTACTTATAAGTAGAATATCCTGAAAATGACAGTACGAAATATTCTTTTCTACATGAGATATTAGGATTTCAAAAATCATTCATACCTAATAAAAGATCCAAAGATCTCCTGTTTTTTGAAAACTTAATATCTCGCGAAGGAAAGAATATTTTGCGTTGTGACTTTGAGGATTTCTAGTTATAGGTGAACCTATTTATGGACAGAGTTTTAGCCCGGAATGTCGCCATTCATTTTTTTGGTATTTACCATCCTATAGGCTAAAATTCAAATAAAAATGGCTATAATTCTGGCGGGAAAGCTTAGGAGCACTTGCCCTTTTCAGTTCTTTCATAATCTTACTAGAACCTACTCTATGCATAAAGTCCAAACTTAGGAAGATTTATCACTTGGAACGATTCTCTCATTACCCAGGTCGAACATGCACGCTCGTAAACGGTCGTTTACGAAAAAAAACGGAGATATACGGAGGTCGTGCACAGCTTCCGTATGCGATGCGCGTATACGGAGCGGTACGATGAGAAACGGACTCCGTATACGGAAATCGTACAAAAATACGGAGGAATTAAAAGATAAGCATCTGGGCTCCGTATACGGAGCTATACGACTGCCGTATACGGTCGTATGTCACCGTGCAGGGTCGTATCGGTACCATAACCGTACAATTTAGTGAGCAGCACATGTTGTGCAACTCACATATATTTTTCGAAGAAAAATAGTGAGTATAAGTTTAAATGCGAGGTTTTTCGACTTCTCTTCCCTGTCCCATTACAGATCTTAGCATCCGTGGTCAAAGGTTAAAGATCACTGGGGACAAATGCTGCCATAATAACGAACATATAACAAGTATCAGACTCTTTTTACACAAACCCTTAGCGACGGAAAAGGTGTTGAACGGCGTTAACAAACACGGCTTAGACTGTTCTGGAATATTTCAAAGCTTTCTTGAAATTTAAATGGCTGGGTTACATTTTTAAATGTTGTATATAGTGGAGCGTCTAATTTTTGCTCGAATTTAATGAGTAAATGATGTATATCAAAGATGGATGATGACTGATGATGTATTGATTTACTACAATCATCGTAGGATCAAGAGTACCTGCCTAATTCGACTTATAATATAAATGGACCGAAAAAACATCAACAGCACTCAACCTCACCAAGAATAAATTTTTTTCTCCATTTATCATTTATCATAAAAGTGATAAATGAAGACTTAACTGTAAGTTTATACAAAAGATTTATATTTTTTTTTGCATTATCATTTATTACAAAGGTAATGAATGATGAACACTTTACTGTAGGTTTATACAAAAGGTTTATATTTTTTTTTTCTTCATTTATCATTCATTATAAAAGTGATAAGTGAAGAAGACTTTACTACAAATTTATGGAAAAAAATTTTTTTTTCCTCCATTTATCATTGATTATAAGTCTGATAAATAATAAATGAAAAAAAATATAAATATTTTGTATAAAATTACAGTAAAGTTTTCATTTATATACATATATTTCTTCATTTATTATTGATTACAAAAGTGATAAATGATGAAGACTTTATTGTAAATTTATACAAAATATTTATATTTTTTTCTCCATTCAACATTGATTATAAATCTAATAAATGATAAGTAAAAAAAATTATTAGTATTTTGTATAAATTTATAGTAAAGTGTTCATTTATGACTTTCACAATCAATGATAAATGAAGAAAAATATATATATAAATACTTTGCATAAACTAACAGCAAAGTCTTCGTCATTTATTAGATTTATAATCAGTAATAAAGGAAAAAAATATAAATACTTTGTATAAATTTACAGTAAAGTGTTTATCATTTATTACTTTTGTAATCAATAATAGATGAAGAAAAAAATATATATAAATGAAGACTACTGTAAGTTTCTACAAAATATTTATTTTTTTTTGCATTATCATTTATTAGATTTATAATCAATGATAAATGAAGAAAAAAATATATTTTTTTTGTATAAATTTACAGTAAAGCCATCATTGTTTATTACTTTTATAAGAAGCAATATAAGTCAACAGATTTATAGATTATTTTATTACTTATTTTCAAAATGATAAAAAACTTCTGAAGGTGCGTTTATATTATAAGTCGAATTAGGCATCTCATGAGGATCAACAAAAAATTTATGAACTAATCAAGTTCTAATTCGAGGGAATAATTAAAATAAGACCATGACATCTCTCAGTAAAATTATCAATGGACTTTTATTCTTAATAATATTTAAATAGATCGATAGATAGGTAGGTAGACACGTAGATAAATAGCTAGATAGATAGATAGGCAAGTAGATAGTTAGATAGATACGTAGGTAGGTAGTTAGATAGATAGATAGGTAGTTAGATAGGTAGGTAGGCAGATAGATAGATACATAGATAGGTAGGTAGATAGTTAGATAGATAGATAGGTAGGTAGGTAGATAGATAGATAGGCAGGTAGATAGATAGATATATAGGTAGGTAGGTAGGTAGGTAGTTAGATAGATAGATAGGTAGGTAGGTAGATAGGTAGGTAGGTAGTTAGATAGATAGATAGGTAGGTAGGTAGGTAGTTAGATAGGTAGATAGTTAGATAGATAGGTAGGTAGTTAGATAGATAGATAGGTAAGTAGGCAGATAGATAGGTAGGTGTATGTCTCAGTGAATATAGGGCCGATCAATGTTATGTACTGAAATCATTCTATATAGACGACAAAATGCGATCGTTTACGATCGCATACGGGGATAATACGGTCGTTTACGACCATAAACGCTCCGTATACGATCTCCGTATTTCTCCGTATACGACCACGGAGATATACGATCGTAATACGATCACATGTATTACGGCCACATACGATCGTATACGGAGCGTATATGGCATGTAAACGGTCGTATACGACCGTATACGGAGTCCGTAACACTGGACCTGGGTATATAGCTGTTGTGAGACTAGAAAAGTGACCCTTCGTGAGACTTCCGCTCATAATTCATTCCATTATAACAAATGGAATATGTATTCCGAATAAAACTTTTTAATTCCTATTTCATTTTCCAGAATTGTAAATTTTTTTTAAAACTTTTTTAAAATTTTAAAATTTATCTTTTTAGTTTTTCACACTTCTTATTTTTTTAATTTTTCTTTTTTTGATTTTTTAAAATTTTTTATAGTTCCCAATAAAAATATCAATAAAATGACACCCTCACATATGTTGACTCTTTTTGCAACTGCGATTTATTAATTCAGTTACACGTAGCTGCGTCGCAGTTTGATCGTACTCGAACCCATGGATTGGATTAGTAAAATTTACACAAAGAATTGTACATTTTATGTTAATAGAACTTTGTACAGCAGAATTGTAAAAAATTGTGTTGTATGCATCATAGTTGAGAAATAACATGACACACATGGCAAACAGAATATGCTTTGTTGTTTTATTTTCTATTACTGCGCCACATATCAATCAGCCAAAAAAAAAATATTTTTTTTTTCTTTCCTTCGTGTAGGTAAATCAAGTCGATTTTTGTGAAAGCGTTATCCGCAGAACGCCAAAGAAAAAAACTGATCATTCATACTCATATTGGTTATTTGTGCGTAGAGTAAGATTTTTCAGAGAAAGTATTTTATTATGACAGACTACAGTCCACGTCGTGGTGATCATTTATATGTTTGGCGTAAAATTCGAATGTACCAACATCATGGAATTGTTGTTACAAAAGAGGATATTCTTAAAAAATTATCTTCTGAGTTACGTCCAAAAAAAGTTGAATCATTAATGATAATTGAACAAAATATTTGTGGATTAGATATTGTTACATTAAAACAATTTCGAACTGAACATCCGTTTAATTATGAGCATGATATTGGTTGTGCTCGTTATAAAACTGATCCAATGGATTATTATTTAAATAGATGTGGAACATGTTATTTAACTGATCGTTTATCGGAAGATTTAATTATTGAAAATGCAATTAGAATTTATAATGATAAAAATCAAAGAGATATATGGAAAACTTATAGCCTTGTTTTGAAAAATTGTGAACAATTTGCATTTATTTGTTCAACAAATGTTGAATATGCTTTAGGAGAACAAGTTCTTATGGCTTGTAATGTTGTTAAATGTGTTTTTATTAATGGAATGTATAATGCTGTCAAATTTACTTTTCAAATTATTCGACGTATGATCACAATTCATTGATAAAAAAAAAAACCACATCAAAATAAATTTTCTTTTAGAATTAGCAGAACAAATCATTTCTGGAATGTCTGTTGAAATGATTGTCAAAGGTAATATGAAACTGTTATAAACCCAAGAGGAGAAAAGACGTACTTCTTAATATTTCTATCTACTTATACGATCTTGAAAATTTTTTCTATCGCTCTTACTTAGTATGAATGATGGTGTTATTACATCAATTTTTAATGCTAATGTTTAAATAACACTTGTGACACATACATAAGACAGAATCATATAGATTAAAATTTAAAAAAAAACGGAGTGAATATAATAAATGATAAACTGATGGAACAGAAGTGTATTACTCTTTTGTTTAGAAGAACAACTTGACTATTTTTCTGAAAATCAATAGGATTAAAAGGCATACTTCCTTGTACTTCATGGTACTTCTGAAGTATAGAAGTACGCTTTTTTTTCCCTTGCATAAAGCTTAATAAGTAGAATAAAATAGTTGTTTAGTAACTCAGGCTGTGCTATTTCGCATGAATCTTTCAGATGATACACGTCTTTTGATGGAACCATGAATCGAAGTTAGGGTCGAGATAGTATTTGTTTAGTTTTTTTTTTCTTCATAGTTATTATTCAAGCTTTAGATAATCGAATTTAAAATTCGAGTATCATTTGAATATAGTTCGTTCTTTGCAATCAATTAATAATTCCGAATATTGGTTTAGGAAATGGTTTAGCTGCTCTAACAGCGTTTACTTTAGAAGCATTAATAATATCTGTTCGTTTGTTTATTTATTATTATTATGAAGAAGATCGTTCAAAGAATTTAGCACGAAAATATGCGATAAGTCCTGAAGATTATATTCAAGAAATGGTTCAAGCTGGTTTTGGAAGTTTATCTGCATTTGGAATGTCCATAGCTGGTGTTATTGTTGGTTCAACATTTTTTGTTAGTTCAATGTCACCAATAATTTGTTCAATTTTCTTTGGATTTATTGGATATATTGCAGCGAGATGGTTAACAGGTTTAATTGCAATTAAAATTAGAAAAAAATTATCTTCGTAAGTTTTTTTAAGAGAATTTATTTTATTTGACATTTTATTTTTGTTTTTAGAGACAATAGCGAAAAACAAGTGGCATTTAAAAATTTTCCAGGTGATGATAATGACACTGTTGAATTTGCTTGATTGACTATATATATATTTTACTTCATTTATTACTAATTTTATATTTAATTTTATGTACAACAAAAGGAAATAATACTTCAATGTCAAGATAGAATCAATTTTTAGGTTTCATCGATCGTGTATCACGATCATTCATTGCGGATAAATATTTAACAGTAGCACGATGAGATTTTTAAAATATTTTGACTG